TCAGTGGAGAGGAGATAACTGGTGTAATTAAACATCTTCCATCCTTCAGAACAGGTTTTCACTGTAAGATAAACATACAGAGACATTACAGACCAACAAGAAGTACAAGTAATTTTTTGTAAAGATATCTCTGTAGATGCCATTTTCAATGAATGACCCTTCAATGCCCCTCAATCGGTGATCATTTAGTTGGTGTAACCTTGTTGGATAGTTTTTCTGCTTGACTTTTACACTTTCAACCTGATATTATGATTATTATTGTGACATATTTAACAAGAACAATACAACAGTTGAAAACAATATAAACCGTCTTCTCTACTAGAGATTATTTCATGCAGTGTAACTTTTGTGCAGCCAGGTGATAATAGTTAGCAGCAGTTTGGCATTCAGTAAATCTATAGAGGCTGACATTTGTGGAGAGAACAAGATTTACCGCTTCAATGTTCAACCTATTTACTGTCATATGCACAACAGTTACAACTGAGTGCAGATCTCCACTGGGCAATAAATGGTGAAGCACCTAATAACAAATTTGGTAACGCTAGATTCCAGCCTGCAACGTACAGCATATTTACTTGGAGTTACAGTGCAATCTCTTGTACTAATGGTGTAACAATAGAGTATGTACCAGTACATATATAGGTACTGGGGAACAAGATGTGAAGTTCTAGAATTAAGGGGGGAACATTTTTGGATTATACAGAGAACCTATACTGTAGTCATTTTTTATCTACTGGGTACGTTTCTGTTATTGTAGGGTATGTATGACCTACTGAGCAATAATCTGGACCTGTCAGTGAAGATTTAGTGATGACTGCATCACTTAATAAATCTGATGTTGTTGTTTCAAATGACCTTATTACCAACAAGCAAGCAAACTACATTGTCTCTTTATAATAAAGGTTTACTTGGAGTAACTATGGGGTACATCTGTGCGGTTACTTCAGAACAAATGTTCAGAAAATAAATAAATAAATCCTAAACAAAATGCCCCAAAAAACGGTAATTATTGACAGTCCTGCTCGTTGTTTCTGCAGGTTCCTGTGTATTGAGGTCAGTGAACTCTGAGCAGCCTGAACCAACCGGTCCATAGCTAAGCAAGCAAACTGTTTATAGAGACATCATCTTTGTTGAGAGGATGATATGTAATGTAATAGACTTCACAAATGACATCACATGTTGCTTATGTGGGTTGATATTCACATAAAAAATAAATAGGTCTGAAGGGGATGCTGCAGCATATTAATATATTTGATACAGAAGAATATTTAATATTTGTGTGTTCTAGATCCTCTGTTTTGATTAGTATGATAAATAATACTGTTGCAGTTGATATTGTCTATTTGTTTATATTGTCCATTTAACCACAAGTTAATTTTGTTGGATGATGAACAAAGCTTCACATTTATGTATGATGAGTATGAGATAAGTTGTCTGAATGGATTATCAACCAAATTTGACAAAAACACGGTGGGTTGGTTTTCCTCCTTTCCTCCCCAGTTTTTAAAGTCACCAGCCACCACTGTTGCAGATTAACTACAGGGTATGCAGGCTGTAATCTAAAACACTCTAAATTCCCTCCTTGTTACATATAATTACAGAGTAACTACAGGGTATGCGGGCTGTAATCTGAAGTGCCTTTAGTTCCCCACTTGTTACACCAAGGGTACATCCCAAGTCTCTTATTTGTGCCCCTTTATTGGATATCAGTTATTGATTGGACACTGCAGCTGATCTGACTCAGCGCCATTTAATATGATTATATTATAGTCAGAAACTGTAGAAAGTCTGTCAAGAAATACTTTTTATTATCTTTTTATTATCATTCAGTCACATGAGACTGATAATTCCTGAGTTTGATTCCTGATCATTTCTTGAAACATTTAGTAAAATAAATATTTTCCAATAACACCACAGTCATATTCTGGGTTATTCAATTATGTGTTGTATTGATGTATTTTCTTAATTTACTATAATGATTAGAGAAGATACTTTGCGCACACTAATGTCACTGCAGCAAATATCATTAAGCAGCAAAACTTAAAAAACTGCCATAAAGTTGAAAGGACATAGAAACTCTTCAGAGGATTTGTCAGGAGGATGGCTGTTATACTCTGAACAATTTCCCTGTATGAATCTGGACTGTGTGTGGGAACTTTTAGAATTGTAAAACAACACGGAACATTCATTAACATTAGATCCTGTCAGTGTGTCAGGAGATTTAAATCATCACTGAGGCTGCTGTGCCTGGTGTGTAAATGTGCACAGCGTCTCTCTTTATGGGGAGAAACTTCACCTTGCTGTAAATGTTGTTTTTTTTGTGTAGTATAGTCATACGATGCATAGTATGGTGCAGGTGTCACTGTAGTCTCTACACTATTGGGTTATTTCAATCACTTAAATTTACTATTAAATACAATACTTTTTCTCTTTCCTTTCTTTTTATAGCCCACTTATTAGGAACCACAGTCTGTAACCAAGCTGGGTAATTGGTCTGAAACTGAAATCAAAGTGAAATATATACAATGCAGTATGACTTAATCATTGAATTTATGACTAAAATGTGTTTTTTACTCACTCTGTTTGGGCAAACTCTTAAGTCTTTCCAGCTCTTCAGTCATTTCAGTGATTCTGGCATTCAGCAGGTCTCTCTCTTTGGCCATTTCAGTGATTCTGTCCTTCAGCAGGTCTCTCTCTTCAGTCAGGAAAGAGGACTTGTTGTCACTGGCCTGAAGACACTTTAGGTTGGCTTTGATAGAGGAGAGTTCTGCAGCTGAATGCTGAACGAAGTCATGGTCTGAAATAATCAAACAAAGCTCTGAAACACCTACTGCAGTTTAATGGAACATCACCGACATAAAGACAGTGTAGCTGTCAGCAGTAAGGATACAACAAAATGGTAAGTGCTGAAACAATGATCTGCGCCAAGTTCAATTTAAATATTGAGCTAAATTATATGAGGCATTTTTTTGTTGATTTGACTGTTCTGGAATTATTTCTTCTTTCTGTGTGCATTCATAAAATACTGAAAACAAAATGTCTTTAAAAGAACAAAATATGAAAATTGAGGCAAGACAGGAAACCAAACAGATCAGAATAATACTGCACAAAAGTGACCCATTTAAAAAAAAACAGGTACATTTTCAGAGTAGAATGATGCTTCTATAATCACAATCCAGCCTGACTTTAAGCTCTGAATGTGATTTAAACTCACAGTGGACACCGAGGCCGATGAGTCCAACCAGCAGGAGAAAAGAGAGCAGACCCAGACAGAGAACAACAGATCCATGAAATCTCCTCTCTGAGCTCCTGGGACCTGAACACAGAAAAGACCAGTGAATACAGTAAATGATACAACAGCATTAATGACAGGTAATAATACACATTTCTGCAGAGCTCAGTCTGTCAGCCTCTCTGTCTGAATCATTATTCTAACCTCTCTGATTCTGGGATGCTCTTAAGTCAGCACAGTCATCATATTTATCATTCTCATGGATTTTCTCCATCGCTCATAAAAAATGCCAAATGTTCTGCTGTGGGTCAGCTCTGCAGCACAAGTTACTCTTCACATTAATGATAAAACTGTAGCTGGGTTCAGTTTTCTTTTATTTACAGGAAGTCACACCTCAAAATAGTTTCTGAGATAATCGCCTGTTATCTCACTTGAAAAAAGAACATGTACTTTATAAAAAGTTTAAAGAAATATAGTAGTCTTATCTTAAATTCTGCTCTCTTGCAACTACTGTACATTAGGAAAGGATGTTATGGGGGAACCATATATAATGATGCTTGTGTTTTTACTTACTCTTAGATTCAACATTCATATTCAACATACCTGCAACACTAATGTTTCAACTTAATAAAAGATGCATGCCAACAGAAGTATGATTGATGAAGAGTTAAGGCAACTAAAACCTTTATCTATGTGTGTGAAAGATGGTGGCTATGGCAACTAAACTTTGGTTAAAGCCAGAGAACGAAAAAAGAACACACGCACTGTCAGCACTGATAAGGTTTCAGTATTTCTTAGTTACTTTGGCACAATCCTCAAAAGAATATTGTAATGCTCAAAACTCTGTGCAGCTCATTTTCTCACATCAGTATTATCATTTCTTGTTGCTTTCATGCTTTCAGGCTTTTAAGTGGCAAAGTGTTGAGTTGACCGAGGGATGCACTGAGTTCATCTTAGTGATCAA